CGCTGCTGTAACAAATCACCCCTGGGTGGCTTCCCACAACGGAAATATTTTGTCTCACCGTTCTGAAGGCCAGAAGTCCCAAGTCGAGGCATTGACAGGGCCATACTTCCTCTGAAGGCTCTAGGAAGCAATCTGTCCCTTGCCTCTCCCTAGCTTCTGAAGGCTTCCAGAAATCCTTGGTGTTCCTTGGCTAGTAGACTCATCCTCCAGTCTCTGCCTCCGTCTTCACATGGCTGCCCCTTCCCTGCGTCTCTGTGTCCCTGTGACTCCACAGTGGCCTTCTTACAAGGACGCCAGTGATCAGATTTAAGACCCACACTACTCCAGTGTGATCTCATCTTAACTGGATGACATCTGCAAGGACCTTATTTCCAAAGAAGATCATGTTCACAGGGACTGGGGTTAGGACTTCAGTGTATCTTTCTGGGGAACACAGTTTAATCCACAACACTGACTGAGGGGTGCTGGGGGCTGGGCATGATAGAAGCTGGGCCAGGAGGCTGCACCGACAGTGGGGGCGGGGACTGAAGCATGGGTCCTGGAGAGGGGCCCCTTGCCCTGGCGGTGGGTGGGCTGCTGAGGCCCTGCATGCCGGTGCTACGTGGGGCCACCCCGCGCTCCCCATCACCCTGATCTGCTTCTTCCTGGGTGAGGCCTGGGCTCTGTGGAGGGTACAGGGGGTGTGGCCCTGCATGGGCCTGGGGGCAGGGCCAGGGTCTGGGGGAGAGAACATTTCTCCTTTGCCCTTATGGCTTCTGCCGAAATCTCTCTTCAAGAGCCCAAGTGGAGGTGGGGCTGGTCTCTGCAAGGGGAGGGGGATGGGATTACGGGCAGGGCAGAGGTCAGTGGCATCCAGGCTCAGGAGGAGCCCTCTCTGCTCGCTGCTCCCCAGGAAGATCCCAGGCTGCAGTTTGGCCAGGGCCTGGCCCAGCCTGATAGGAAAAGGGGTCCCTCCACAGAGTTCCCAGCCATCCCAGAAGGGGTTTGGAGTACTCCCACACACCAGTGCCACCGCCCACCGCAGGAGAGTCTGATGGAAGGGCCTTGGGATACCCCGTGAGCACCAGGGCCCTGGTCTCCGTGCCTAGGCTCCTGAGGCCAACACACTCCAGCAGACTCAGCTGGGACACATGAGTCCCTGCCTGTTGTCCTGGCTGTCCACGAGCCCACTCCTCCACCCAGCGACCAGAACAGCAGAGCAAAGACAAGAGTCAGGGGACCTGGGTTCTCTACTGTGTGTCCTTAGCCAAAGAAGTGCCCCTCTCTGGGCCTCACATTTCTGAGTGCAGTGTGAGCACTGGAATCATGGTCTTTTCCAGCTCCCCTTCAGTGGTGAACCTTGAGGAGCCTAATTCACAGGAATGGGCCTCTGATGGTAGAATTCCAGGTAGTGCGTGCTAGGCACACAGAGGGGGAGGTTTGGGCCCAGAGGGCTATTGCCCTGCTCATCACAAGCCACGAGTGGCCATGCCTGTTTCTGAAGTTTGCTCATTTTCAGATGCTTCCTGCCAGCCGTCTGGTCAATTCGCACAGTGCCAGCAGCAGGGGCTGTGGGGGGGAAGGCGGGAGGGTGGTGGGAGAGAAGACTGGGGAGGTAGGCTAGGGTCAGATTGGGCAAGGCAGGGGGAAGGGAGGGGGTTAGCTGGTCCCCACCCGGGAAGCAATGTGTATACAGTGTGTACTTGCGCACAGACCAGCTTGTGCATGATTCTGTGCACGTACAGGTATGAATACGTGTAGGTGTGTGCCTTAACCACATGCATGTGCATTTTGCCTTTTGCAAACCTACCGGTTTGAAGTTAAATTGATGTGGGTGAGAACTCAGATACGTGAGTTCAGAATGTCGTGCCTGTGTTTATACGTGCCTGTGTCAGGTGTGCCCTTTGTGGTCCCAAAGGCCCTGAACACTAGGAAAGCCCGAACTGTCCCAGCACCACCTCTAGGGCAGCCCACCTGGCCATTGGCTCCTGGCGGGACTATAGCTAGGCCCCCAGGAGAAGGGGTTCCATTAAGGAGGCAACCTTAGGAAGTGACTTGGCCATGGCTCAAGGGCAGGGTTGGGCAGGCAAGCCTTTGGAGATCTTTCCTGGGGAGGGGCTCTAGACTCACAACAGGACCCCGGAGCAAGGTCTCAGGCGGCCTGTGCTCTGGAGATGGCAGGGCAGTCCCTGAGGAGCCAAGCTCCAGGTCCAGGTTGGGGCACTGCTCTTGCAGCTGGCATCCGTCCAGGCATGGACCAGCATATCAGACTCAGGAAGCATCCTGGGGTGGAGGCCAGGAGAGGTGCCCCTGTGGGTCTCAGGAGCCCCAAGTCCAACACCCAGCTCGGAGACCAGCTCCCCCTTCTCCCCTTGGGGGAACCACAAGGTATCCTATAGGATTGTCCTGCTTCCAAGCCTATTCTGCCCTCCCCCCGCCACCCCGCCCTGCTCACCGGGAGTGAGCAGGCACTCTCAGGCAGGGCAGGAGCACTGGGCTTCCGGTGGAAAAGCTGAGTAACCCCAGAAGGTCGCTTTGCATTTCCGTCCAGCCCCACTGCCAGGGCCTCAGGCCACGTCTCACCACATCCAGCTTGGGCTATTGCAACTGTCTCTTCCCCACTGCCCTCCCAGCATCCATACTCACATGCTTCCCCTCCCCTGGCTACTGGAGCCTCACTTTCCAGTCTTTGCTGAGGCTGCTGTCCACCCTGCCCTTGCCCAGTGACCCCTCCTCTTCTCAGGAGGGTCTTCTCTGACTCCCCTAGATGGGCTCCCATCTCTCACTCCATCTCTATAAAGCGCATCTCCCTTAACCAACTGTGGCTGGTTCTTTTCCACCTTCAGGTCCCCAGGGCCTAGCAGAGGCTTGGAACTCAGTGGTCGCTCTCAGCTCTGCTATTGGCATTGTCTGCAGGTCCGATTCCCTCACAGGACAGAAGCCAGCCTTTCCCTCCTGGACCCCCAGCCTCCAGAGCACAGCTCACCCCAGGGGATGTTTGTTGCAGCCGCCCCCTGCTGGCCAAGCGGGGAAACTAGACGACATCTGGAAGCTTCTGGGGCAGCCATGAGTCCTGCCTTGCGTGGGGATAGGAGAGAGGTCTCTAGTGAGCAGGGAATAATGGCTTTCCCTTAAGCTGAACGTGCTAACAACAGTCGCGGTGAGTGCCTCCCTCCACGGAAGAGGGTGTGTTTGGCATCCAACCGGTTTCCAGCTCTCCAGACTGGTCTGGGGGCCTCCAACGAGTGCCCGATGGAGCTTCAAGTCCATGTTTGGCCATTGCTCCCACCCCCGGGCTCCCCAAGGGCAGGGATCCCCTGCTCATTTATGCATTCAACAGCTACTTATCGAGCGCCAGCCCCGTGCGCTCGCCTTCACCTGAGTCTCTAGCCCCGGCCCGAGGCTCGGCACATGCTCAGTGTTCATGGACAGCGGGTGCTCTGGGGCTGGATCCAACAGGTAAATGGGGAAGGGCTTGGGATCCCCTCCAGGCCCTAGAAAATAGATCATGCTTATTGTTTTTTGTGGGGGAACCGCCCTCCTCTGCCCTGGCTCCAGGCTGCCAGCCACGCACCGCGGCCAAACCAAGGAAAGTTCCAGGAAACACACGGACATGGAAGCACGAGTCAGAGCAGTAACTGCTGCAGGGGCCTGAGCTGGGGGCTGCTGCCGGCTGATCCTGCCTCCCTGGGATCCCATGAGTAAAAGCGGGGTGGAGGAGATGGTGGCACTGAATGACCTCTGAGGCCCCTCCCAGCTGTGTGACTCGGGGACCCATGACAGGGCCCTCCAGCCCGACCATGCCCATGGCCCACGGCCTCCATAGCGCCAGCCAGCCCGTCCACGCAGGAAAGCCCTACACCAGGGAAGTGACCCTGTCACGCTGGGAGCAGGTGGTCCTCTCGCCTGCTGCTGGATACAGGCCCAGGACTGGGAAAGCGTGGAGGGGACACATGGCAGTCTGTACCTGCCGTGTGACCCTGTGCTTAGCGAACAGAGGCCCCAGGCTGGGCCCTGCCAGACTTGCTCTGGGACCACAGACAACTCTCAGCTGCAGTCGGGGCACCCAACTCCTCAGCCAGGGAATCCTACTCGACAATCTGTCCCCCACACCCCTCACCCAGGGCAGGCCACCCCGGTATGTGCCTGTCACCGCCCGGCCCTCACCGGGCTGGATGCACTTGTGGGTGTGTCTTACTCACCTCTGATACCCAGGACCTATTAAAAAGCCAGCCCAGACTTGGCCATCCAGCTTCTGGACTAGATCGAGGTCACACATCGTAAGGTCTATGTAAACACCTGCCAGTCGGCATGCTTTCTTGACCGCCGCGGGGAGCTCCAGCCGATGGCCGGCTCATCAGAAGCCACGGTGCTCAGGCTGGGCAGGCACCCGTGGGCTCAGGCACATTCCTGTCCTCCATCTGCCCTGCATCAGAGGGGCTCACCCTGCCAGCTCCATTTCCTGGGCTCGCTTGCCAGTGCGTTCTGGCAGATCTGGCGCACAGGAAGCCCTGACGGTAGATCAGACGGGAGATGAGACGATGGGCAGAGGGGCCAGCCTCCTCTCAGCGCCTCTGGCTGTAGAGGCCAGTACCGGGATGAGGTCGTGCCAGGCAACCCTCCTCACGTGGTCCCAGCTTGGAGGTGCCCCCTAGGGGCAGCAGTGGCTTCCCGCTGTTGCCAGTCCCAGGGTTGTCCAAGCTTCCCGTTTCCTCCTTCAGCTATCCCAGCACCTTCGCCACTCAAACCGCCCCCCACACCCCCCCACCCCTGTGTCAGATCTCCACTGGGTGGAGGTCGTCGGCCTGGTTCAACCTGATCCACTTGTCTTCACCATCACACCCCACCCTGCTGCTGCCCCAACTCTGCCCTCTCTAGCCCCAGCCAGACCACAGAGACACCACGCACCATGAGCAGGTTGGAGGCGGTTTCTTTATACAAAGGTCATCAACACTGTGGATCCACCAGCATGCTGCTGTGGTTCACCATGGCCCACCGCACCGCTCATGGGGCAGAAGGCTGGGGGGGGGGTGGGTCACTGTAGGGGGGCAACACTACACGGGCCCCGGGACTGCCGAGCACATGGGCTTGGAGCTCCCGAAGGGCAGACACAGACGCACGGGCACTACCACCAAGAGCACCACACACGAAGACAGGAAGGAAACGCAGAGCTAGAACGAGCCCCTGGCAGCCACCGACCACCCCAGTGCACTCTTCTCCCGGGTGTTCTTCGGGAGGCAGGGCGGCAGGTGGGAGGCGCCCTGGGCCCGGGGCCAAGCAGCCCAGCTGCGCGGCTACAGAACTACGTGACTTAATCACGGAGCGTCTCTCCCTCTGCGTCTGTAAACTGGGGACGATAAACTGCACTTCACGTAGTTGTCATGAGGACTGGAATTGCGATATATATCAAAATACTCGACACAGAGCCTGGCACATAGAGGTGTTTGATAAATAATTTTTTGTCGAGAAAATCTTAGCTCCGCTCACAGAGGACCTTCTTCAGAAAGCCAAGATGTGAGATAACTTCCCTAGAAATTCCCTGTCAGGGTATCAGGACCCTTGAGCACTCCTTGGAGCCTGCAGCCACTGGGGTGGCCAGGGCCCCAGAATACACCGTGCCAGGGCAGTTGAGGGGGGCGGGGGGCTGGACTCCCAGGGAGGCACCCGCGGAAGCCGGGTAGACGCCGGAGGAGTTGGGGATCGTTCCAAAATGGTTCTGTACGTAACACAGGCCGGAAGCTGGCTGGTACGGAGGCAGGCTGGGCATGTGGCCAGGAGCGCAAGCTGGCCAGGCGGCTAGTTTCTGGCCACTGGTGTGCTGCATCTGGGCGACAGGGTGGCTCGGGGACAGGTGAGGGTGGCCACTCTGCGTGGGGTAGGAGCCGGGCACGGGGTTCAGCCTGGAACGGAACAAGAGAGAAGATGGTCACTCAGCTGGTAATGCCCAGGCCCCCAGCAGCTGTTGGACGTGAGAAAGGCTCAGGGTCACCAGACCACTTTGTGTGACAACCTGCTTTGGACATTTTCTGTAACTAGCTCCAAGCACCAAGTGAGGAGACAGGTTAAGCTCAACCCGTCAGAAAACATGCCTGAGAAGGGAGGGCCCACTCACAGTCCCGCAGTAAGCCGGCAGGATGAAGGGACACGGCGCTCACGACTAAGGCCACCTGAGGTGTAACCGCTCGCAGCAGTTTGTCCCCCAGATGGAGAGGGGACCGGATCGCAGCCGTCACTGTGTATGTGGCCGGCTCAGCAAATGCTACCCAAAGAGAATGGGCCAACTTCTGTGGGAGGGAGGGCAGGAGGGCTCAAGTGGGGTGACACAGGGCTTGGGCCCAGGCCTTGTCTGCTGTGAGGTTTTCTACCTGCGGCTTCGGGAGCGAAGACGCAGAACTCAAAGTCCTGGCCGGCAGGAACCGACGGGCCAGATGTGCGGAGCTGCGCCCTTGGAGATGAAAGACCCCCCCACAGACACGTGTGGCTGGGACCACAAATGGAGACACAGCCCAAGGGTTTTATCCTCTGAACTTCTGCGCAGAGTTTCAACTATGGACAACGACTGCCAATACGACCGGTGTTCGTGGTAGGTGACTGGACGGAATCCATACATGTTTCAGTTAAAACCCAACCTGACAAATCAGCTGCTTACGGGGGCGCCTGCGTGGCTCAGTCAGTTGAGCGTCTGACTCTTGGTTTCGACTCAGGTCATGATCTCAGGGGCGTGCGATCGAGCCTGCGTCAGGCTTCAAGCTCAGCAGGGAGTCTGCGTGAGATTCTCTCTCCCTCTTCCTCTCCCCCTCCACCCCTCTCTAAAATAAATAAAGCTTTTTAAAAAAAAAAAAACCCATCAAGTCAGCTGCTTAAGTACAGGAACAAAGCACGTAACAGTAACATCTCACTTCTGGGATTCTTGAAAATGCAGAGAATCTGGATTACCAGAAGCTCACCAAGAGCCTCCGGGAGGCAAAAGTGTCCAGACCGCTGTGTAACAGCCAAAAACAAACACGCATGTTGTAATACCTGTGTCCCACTGTCGGGCCAACTGAGACCTCATGTTCTGTTCTGGGGGCCTGTAGCAGGCCGGGATAATGAGCATTGTATCCGTGCCATGTGAGGGACACGGAAGGACCGGAAGGGTCACCACCTCCCTGACCCCAGATCTGTTTGTCATGATGAGACAGAATCAGACCTGGCACCAAAGTGTCCCAGTTACAGCGAAGCAGCTGCCGTTCCGCATGGAAGAACTTTCTCATCAGGGGCTGCCTTGGAGATGAGCCCCCAGCCAGGAGGCTGAGGCAACCACCGTCAGCTGTCTGAGAGGCGGCTCCTTCACAGGGTGCGAGTTTGTACCCAAGGCCCCCTGAAGTCCCCTCTCGAGTCTATTGAGAACATAAAGCCTAAAAGCCTCCATACACCTAACTAAATTTCAATCGTCTCCCACGTATTTAGACCCCAGGGATCACTTGCCTGAAATCGGGTGAGTGTGTATTTCTGGTTTTCCCAGTAACCCCCAACATCCCCGGCCCCTGATGTTCCCTTCCTTTAAAGACACGGTCAAAGGGCCCTGAGCTGGTGAAGGCTGGGGGGCATCCGCCTCCTCAAATAAGCTACAAACAGCAGCTTCCAATTCAACCGAAACCCTGCGTCCAGGCCAGCATGGAGCGCGGACTCTATTCCACAGCTGGTTGAAGGTAGAAAAGGGCTGCCTGCAAAGCACCTGAACTTCACACAAGTCCTTTTTTTTTGGGAGGGAACCCTGAAGGAAAGAAAATCTACGTGGTGAAGTCTCAGCATGGACGCACCCAGGGAAGGACACAGGCCAGCAGTGGGGAAACAGCAGAAAGGGGGTGAATAGGACCTGGAAAGAAGAGAACCTAGTTCTAGATGGGGCTCTCCTGCCTGTGTAACCTAAAGAGACTCCTGTCCTCCTTGGGCCTGCTCTCTGATGGGACAGAGTGAGGCTACGTGAGCCTGGGCGGCTTGCCTAGCACCTTCCATGGAGTTTGTAAGCCTGGTCTGGAAGACCCAAAACCTTACCTTCTCTTGCTGGGTGGCCGAGAAAACGCTACCTCTCAGGTCCTGCGCTGTCTCACGTCCCAGCTGCCTAGTCAGCCGTGTGGACTGCCTGCTTCTCACCAGGGCTCCATGCCAGAGCCCAGGGGGACCTGTGCGGGGTGCTGGGCAGCACTGAGGGCTGGTAACAACACTTGATGGGGCCACTCCCTCCCACGGTCTGTCCCAAGTCACTCAGGGGTATATGGGAGCACTTCAGATGCCTTCCCTTCCCCCTTTCGGCTCAGTCCCTACTTCAGATGCAGCTGGGCAGGATCTAGAGCACTCAGAAGACCTCTGTGCGTGGATGTTCTGGGCCCGGGACTATACATACCCTATCACTTTTTTCCGCGATACTGAACCAGTCACACACTCTACAGCTCCCGGAACGGCTTCAAGAACAAGCGTTAAGAGTTTTGTAACTTACTTCCGGCTGTGGGCCGCCCTTCTTTCGGCTGAAGAGCCTGAGATGTACTTGAACGCCGAAATCCTCCTCATGAGGCTGAAGGGGAACTTCTGGTCAAGCTTCAGGGCTACTCGCTCTGAGAGGTCAATGGAATAGCAGTAGGTGAGGCCATCTGAAGTTGGTGTATTAAGTAAAACTGGAGCCAGCTCAAGGGAAGAGTCCCCTTAGAACACTTCCCCATAGAACACAGGTGCCCGCATTTATTCCACAGGGGGATTAGCACTCGCTCTACCACAAGCTGAAGCTCAGGGGAAACCAAGGTTTGAGTTTCTATCCCCTGCACCTCAGAGGGAACAAAGAGCCCAGCAGTCGGGGAGGGCAGATGATGCCTTGCCTGCCCCGTGCCAACCCATCTCATGCCAACTGCTACAGTCACACCAGCACATGCCTGTGTCTCTGCAGTGGGATGAGCCAGGAGGCTGCCTCGATAGCCTCTGTGGGGACTGACATCTTGTCCGTTTGTCCCCAAATAGAAGGCACCCTGCCTCCATGTGATCAAGTGAGCCTCGTGTGGGTCTCTTTGGCAGCACTTCCCCCACATGGTCACCACTCCCAGTAAGTGATCTGAGGGCACTCTGGTCATCTGACCTGTGTCAACCCACCACTGCCCATAGATTCAGCTTTCGTCCAGCCATAAAGATTCAGCTTTTACCCATCCGTCCGTCCATCCATCCATCCCTTCGACGAATACCTAGTGAGCACCTGTGATACACCAGGAACTAAGGAACGAGTGCCAGACAAGGGGGAAGTAACTGGGGTAGAGGAAGTGGTGATAAGCAAACGCTGATCACTGGAAGATCAGGCTGGGGACCCTCAACTAGTGTAGGGAGACCGAGAAGGCTTTCCCTAGGAAGTGAGGTGCGTGCTGAACCCTAAATTGCAAGCAGCAGCAGCTGGAAGAGGGTAGTGGTGGAGAGAAGGTAAGGAGGCCCTGGGAGCTGTTCCTGGAGGCAGTGTTCTTCACTGGAATGCTCCTGGCAAGTTGGGCAAGACAAGCCTTTGCTGGGCTAGACTCTTCCACTCATTTTCGGACACTCGGCATCCCCAGCCACCGGCCACCAAGTAGCAGTAGCACCTGGTCACTGTGATAACCAAAAATGGCCCTGCATGCCTCTGTGTTCTTTCAGGGAGGGCAGTATTATTTCCAAAGACTGATTTCCAATGATAGCTAGTGCTGTGAGGAAGTCAAAAGTTGTCCCAGCTGATGACTTCAGAACGCTCTTAACCATCTGTTCTGCTTCGGACTCTGAAGAAGTCATGGTACCAGACTAGTCCTCCCACCATAGATAACTGTAAGCCGGGACACGATATTTTACACAACTGTCTTCAGACTTTGGACAGCAAACACTGTGTGCCAGGCTGTGATACTGAAGACAAGGGAAACAAATGAAGCGAGCCTCAAGACTGAGCTGGCTTTCCAGTGCCTGGAGGCATTTTCCAAACTACAGTATCGAAAGGGGACTCCAAGCAGAGAATGGTGTGTTTTGCTAAGCTGGAGAGACAGAGAAAGTTCAGAGAGGAAAAAGTGCCTGGGATTTCCAGGTCAGAGTCACAGAGAGGAGGGCGCTGCTCAGGGAAGGAGCTCCAGAAATGTACCTGAGTCTTTAGCTGAATACCAGTGTGCACACACGTGGGCAGAGACTCCTCATGCCCGGCAAAGACCAGCTACTGAGGGAACAGCAGCTATCCTGGAGCTCACACAGGGCAGGGACACGCTTGAGTTCTAACTAGACAGGGTGAAGAGACCTCACTGAACACCTAGGGCATTCAGAGAAGAACTCCAAAAAGGTAATGCCTTGACAAGTAAATTAACTGCTTATCACACACACACACACAAAATCAAACTTGTTCAAATAAAAACAAAAACCAACAACCAACTCAGCCCTCGATAACACAGTGTCTGCAGTGTCTAGTGTAAACTAAAAAATTACGAGACATGTGAAGAAGAAAACGGGTCCTTACTCAGCAGGAAAACCAGTCAAAAACAGATCCAGAAATGACAGAGAAGATGGTATTAACAGACAAGTATTTTAAAACAGCTACTACAGATATGTAAGTATATGAAGAGTTTAAAGGAAAACAAAAACACAATGAAGGAACAGATAAAGAATCCCAATACAGAAATGAAAACTACAAAAAAAAAAAAAAAAGAACATCTTGAGCTGAAATATACAACACGAGAAATAAAAAACTAAGTGGATGGGTTTAACAGCCAAATATGTACCTACCGAAGAAAAAGAGATCATTGAACTTGAAGGCAATGCAACAGAAACTCTCCAAACTGAAATGGAGAGTGGAAAAAAGCTAAAAGAATTAAAAAATAAACCAAGCCGGGGCGCCTAGGTGACTCAGTCACTAAGCATCTGCCTTCAGCTCAGGTCAGGATCTGAGGGTCCTGGGATTGTTCGGCATCGGGCTCCCTGCTCAGCGGGAGGCCTGCTTCTCCCTCTCCCACTCCCCCTGCTTGTGTTCCCTCTCTCGCTGTGTCTCTCTCTGTCAAATAAGTAAATAAAATCTTTTTTTTTTTAAAGATTTTATTTATTTATTTGAGAGAGAGAATGAGATAGAGAGAGAGCATGAGAGGGGAGAGGGTCAGAGGGAGAAGCAGACTCCCTGCCGAGCAGGGAGCCCGATGCGGGACTCGATCCCGGGACTCCAGGATCATGACCTGAGCTGAAGGCAGTTGCTTAACCAACTGAGCCACCCAGGCGCCCCGTAAATAAAATCTTTAAAAAAAAAAAAAAAAAAGTAAACCAAGCCTCAGAGACCCACTGAACAATACTAAGTAGTCTAACATATGTGTAATCGGTACCCTTGAAGGAGAGGAGAAAATAGGATAGAAAAAAACCTTGGAGACATACTGATGCTAATTTTTTTAGACTTAATGAAAACTCTAACCTCACAGATCCAAGATCCAATGATCAACTCCGAGCAAGGTCAACTCAAAGAAAATCACCAAAAAGGCACATGATAATTAAATAGCTGAAAAAGAATGATAAAAAATTGTGAAAGGAGCCAGAGGAAGACAATGAATTATATAAGGAAAACAATAAGAATTACTGACTTCTCATGAGAAAACAATACAAACCAGAAGTAATGCAATGACATCTTTAAAAGTGAAAGATCAGAGAAGGCCAGAATTCTGTATTTAGTGAAATAAAGGCATTTTCAAGAACCAAAAGCCAAGAATTTGTCACCAGTGTACCCACTGTATAAGAAATGTTAAGGGAAGTTCTTTGGGCAAAAGGAAAATGATATCAGATGGAAACTCTGATCCACACAAAAGAATGAAGAGAATTAGAGGGGCACCTGGGTGGCTCAGTCGGTTAAGCGTCTGCCTTTGGCTCAGGTCATGATCCCAGGGTCAGAACTGAGCCTTTCATCGGGCTCCCTGCTCAACAGGGAGTCTGCTTCTGCCTCTGTCCCTCCCTCCCACTGTCCTCTCTCTCACTTTCTTGCTCTCAAATAAATAAATAAATAAATAAATAAAATATTTTTAAAAAAGAATGAAGAGGATTAGAAATGGTAAATATGTGGGTAAATGTTGCTTCTTTTAAATTAAGAAATAAATAATTGACTGTTTAAGCAAAAGTAATAGTAATGTACTGTGAAGTTTATAACACCTATGACAGCAATAGAAATAAAATGTAGGACAACAATAACACAAAGGATAGAAAGAAGAAAAATAGAAATACAATTCTGTAAGATTCTTAAATTATATACTAAGTGGTAAATTACCCAAAAGTAGTCTGTGATAAACTAAAAATGTATATTGTAAACTCTAGAGCAACCACTAAGAAATAAGACAAAGAGATATAGTTAATAGCAAATAGAGCAAACCCATAAGAGCCTATCTTTAAAAAAATGAAATACTGAAGGGGTGCCAGGGTGGCTCAGTCTGTTAAGCATCCAACTCTTGGTTTCAGCTCAGGTCTGATCTCAGAGTCGTGAGATCAAGCCCCGTGTTGGGCTCTGTGCTCAATGCAGAGTCTGCTTGAGTTTATCTCTCCCTCTGCCTCTGTGCCTCCCCCATCTCAAATAAATAAATAAGTAAATCTTTAAAAAATACTCAAGTGAAGTCAGGAAAAGAGGAAAAAAGGAACAAAGAACATTTGGGACAAAGAGAAAACAAAGAGCAAGCAGGAAGACTTAACCTCAACCATATCAATAATTACACTAAATGTACATGAGCTAAACATGCCACTTAAAAGGCAGAGATGGTCAGACTGGAAAACCAACTACATGCTCTTTACACGAAACATGTTTTAAATATAAGGACACAAACGTATCAGAAATATAAAGATGGAAAAATAGATACCATGTACATCCTAATTTTAAGAAAGAAGGCTGGAATAACTACATAGTAATATCAGAAAACAAAGACTTCAGGGCAAAGAATATTACCAGAGATTAAAATGGTCCATTTCACAAGGATAAAAGCTGAGTTCATTAAGATGACATAATAATCCTAAATTTGTATGCATCCTGTAATAGAGCTTCAAGATAACTGAAGCAAAAACTGACAAGAATTGAAAGGAGAAAATAGACAAATCCACAATTTTAGTTGGAGATTTCAATAGTCCCCTTGGGCGCCTGGGTGGCTCAGTTGGTTAAAGCAGCTGCCTTCGGCTCAGGTCATGATCCTGGAGTCCCGGGATCGAGTCCCGCATCGGGCTCCCTGCTGCTCAGCAAGGAACCTGCTTCTCCCTCTGACCCTCCCCCCTCTCATGTTCTCTCTCTCTCTCTCATTCTCACTCTCTCAAATAAATAAATAAATAAAATCTTTAAAAAAAAAAAATAGTCCCCTTTCAGTAATTGATAGAACAGTATAACTGTATAGAAGGCTAGAACAACATCAACACCCTGACCTAACTGACACACACTGAACACTATACCCACCAACTGCAGAATGCCCATTCTTTTAAAGTACACATGGAACATTCACCAAGATCTATCACATGCTGGGCCAGAAAACAATTAAAAGGACAACAATCTTAAAAAGAAAGTTCTCTGACCACATGAAAGGAAATTAGACATCATCAACAAAAGGAAATCTGAAAAATCACCAAAAATTTAGAAATTAAGAAACTCATTTGTAAATAACCCTTGGATCAAAGAAGAAATCCCAAGGGAAATTAGAAAATACTTTTGACTAAATGAAAATGAAAATACAGCATCAAAATGTGTGGGATGCTGCCAAAGTAGTGCATACAGAGGAGTTCATAGCTTTAGATTTCATATATACATTAGAAAAAACAGGTTCAAAATTAACAAAATTAAAATTTTAGAGTAAGATCAATGAACTATGTGTGTATTTACACACTACCTACCCTAATAGTTTACAGAATCACAGATTGAAAGAGATTTTAGGAATGTACCCCATTCAACATTCAACACTACCAATTCTGCTATTTAAAAGAAGTAACCCACATTGGGGCACCTGGCTAGCTCAGTCGGTAGAGTGTACAACTCTCAATCTTGGGGTTGTGAGTTCAAGCCTCATGTTGGGTGTAGAGATTACTTACAAACATTTTTAATATAATAAGAAAAGGGGTGTCTAGGTGGCTCAGTTGGTGAAGTGTCCGACTCTTGATTTCAGCTCAGGTCATGATCTCAGGGTCGTGCGACGGAGCCCCACGTTGGGCTCCTCACTCAGCTCAGAGTCTGCTTGTCCCTCTCCCTCTGCTCCTCCCCCTACTCTCCCTCTCCATCTCTAAAATAAATAAATAAAATCTTAAAAAAAAAAAGTAACCCATACTGTATTTTAGAACTCCCCCCCACCACCACCTGTCATTGCCAGAATATCATACAAGTGATGTAAGGCTTATCCTAAGTTTCTAATCACCCAAAAGAGTGACAAAAAGACTAAACCAACCTTTTTTCTGACAAAAAGACTAAACCAAACAAAACCAAACAAACCTGTTTTCTCTTCGTTTCATGGAACATCCTGAACTCATGGGTATTTCAGAGTCTTCCAATGAAACCTCTTCTCATAATTAGCCAAATGTAGGTTTATATACCTCAGTTTACGAGGGAAAAAACCCCACATCAGAGTATTTTCAAGCTGGCAGTGCTAAGCTGGGGTGAGATAGCTAGCTATGCTGATTTCCAGGTGAGGAAATTCTGGCCTAGAGAAGGGAAGTGACCCACCCAAGACCCCATGGTTTTCAAAGCTGAAGCTAGAATCCAGATTACCTCCACCTGAGCTGACGGCTCTATCTATGACCCCCCCCCGGGCCCCCCAACTTGGTTCGCTCTCTGGCATGTCACCACCCTCCAATTCCCTTCCAGGAAGGATACACGCTAGCCCAATTCCAAGTCCACAGACATTACTGAGGAAGGAGGTCTGGGGGATGAGCCAGGAGGCACATAGCAGGAGCCACGGCACCAGCATTGAAGGCACGACCACGCCAAAGACCAGGGCCCTCCGCACGCGGGAGCGGACAGAGTTGACTCCCAGCATGGCAAAAGCCACCGGGGTGAAACCTCTGGCATCCTCCACCTCCCCCAGCTTCGACAGCGAGGACACGGCTTCACATGACAGGAAGATGATGGCAGAGAAGACGGCGAAGACCACGGTGAAGAAGCAATGGCGGACGGTGCCCACGGTTCTCTCGAAATTGCCAGCAAAACGCCAGATGATAATAGCACCGCAGAGCAGGGAGACAGGATTCTCATAGACAAAGATGTACGTCACCAGCCTGTAAACTGCAGAGGGAGCAGGGTTAGAGGCTTGGCAGTGGGGGCTCTAAGGAGGGCGAGCCAGGTTACAACCCACCTCGGAAAGGGGGAGGAGCTGGCTGTCAGGGCTGGCGAAAACCAGCCAGGAGCCACAACAGGGCAGGGGGAGGCAACAGTGAAGGACCCAAGACTCAAAGGAGAGCTGTGAACATCCAATCCTTGCTCTTTCCCGGACCTGGAGCAAGTCCGTGACTAGCTTCCACGTGGGGAAAAAAAAAATAACACTTTTTAGCATGGGATGGTCTTTGAATTTGTAATGTGCTTTAGAATCCTTTTTTTTTTTTTTTTTTTTAGGTTTGAATACTGACCTATCTCACCGGGCAGTTTGAGGGTTAATTAATTGTAACAGCTTCAGGGTGGATTGAGTGGGTGTCACTTAACACTCTTTGTGCCAGTCTCCTCGGCTGTAATCCTGACCTCTCCTTCCATAGTGGCTGTTCAGAGGAAGAAAAAAGGGACCATGAATTATTTTGTACCTAAAAAGATCATAAAACTATCACTAATTATATAGAGAACTCAGAAGTCTTCCTTGAAGGCGCGTATCCAACCTTACAGGTAGAGCAATGCTTGATATGCCCATGAACCCCACACTCAGAGAAGCTGTGAACTAAAGGGGGGTAAGGGGAGCTCCGTTGACACTGACATTTTGCATTTGTCTACAAGGATGTGCTCTGTGTATCCAGGGCAGGGCGAAGAGTTTGAGCAGGGAGGCAGGCTATGAACCTTATGCCTCATGCCATCTCTGTAAGGCTGCATCATCTCAAGAATACTTCATTATTTGCTGAAATCATTCCAAGTACAAACTGAAATTCCCAGTATAAATGTGAAGATTCTAGAAGCAACTCTATACGGTTTGGGTATTAGACACCCCCAAGGGTCCAGTTCCAAAACAACACACAATAAAAAAAACCTGTTGCTGTCTCAATTGCATGACTTGATAGCTCTGCGACTCCCCCACATTAAAGCCTGTTTCACCTAAATAATGGAGAATAATAAAGCCTACGTCATGGGATCGAGATTAATGCTCGTGAGTGTGCTTTGCGAAATAACAAAAGCTATACAATTTTCTTCCCCAGAAAAGAAGGGGGAAGAGACAGAGACTAGGTTTGTCTCTCATGAGCAGACGTTTATACTGAATCGATCTGCAAAATTCCTCAGCCGTAGACGATACAAACACCTTTCCCAAGGCACAAGATGCCTCCCCCCGCCCCCCCCGCCAGGACTTGGGAATCAGAGTCAGGGTTAAGATGCACACGAGGAAGCAGAAGAAATTCTAAACCTCAAAGAGGCCAGGACGCTTCTAGGGGTAGCCACAGACGATGCTCAAGTGTCTTGATGGAGAGAGAAACATTGTTCCCAGGGGGCGGGGGGAGGGGGAGTTAGGCCCTCCAGCAAACGCCGGTGTGTATGTGACGGGGAGAAGGAGAGGAAAAATCCTCGGGGAGCCAGCCTGGGTGAACGAAGTCGGTTTGCTAGCGAATGGATGCGGGGCCTTGACCAGACGGGCGGCGCCGGGAAAGGGGACGAATTCGGGTAGGGAAGGATTACAGTGATGACGAAGATGGGACTCTGGAGGGACAAAGACGCGGGATACGGGGCTGGTCCTCCGGGCGGGGAGAACGATGGTGCGGGCGGAGTGGCTGGAGGTGAGCCCCGACGGCGCGGGCGCGGGGAGGCCGGAGCCCAGGGCCTGGCGAGGTGGGAGGAAGAGGGCTGGCCCCACTGGCCCGGCCCCGCCCCTGCTCACCTTGCCAGTTGCGCAGGGCCTCGGACCGCAGCGAGAGGCCCGAAGGCGCCAGGGGCGGCTGCAGCAGGAACAGGCGGGGCCCGGACACCAGCAGCGAGAGCAGCGCGGTGAAGAAGGTGGCGGATGGCACCTCGGGACACAAGGACCAGCTCCGACACCCGGGCTCCGAGGCCGCCATGGCCGCCATCGCTCCTGCGCCCCGTCTCGGCGCAGGCTGGTCCTCGGCTCCTTCCGCCTCCCTACGGCTGTCTCCCCTGGCAACCGCGGCGGAGGCGGCCGGAAGCCCCGCCTCCCCGAGGCCCCGCCCCGCGCCGAGCTGCCCAATCCGGTCGCGCAGGCCGCGGGGAGTCGGAGCAGCGCCCTCTGGCGTGCAACGCTGGGGCCTCGCACAAGTGCGGTGCTTGGACGGCTTGCGGGGCCGGGGTTTGGATTTCAACATCTCCGTTCCAGATACCGAATGAACTCTGTGTCTTGCGGCTTACAGAGCCCTTTCACACGCACGCGCACGCACCTGCCTTATCTGTGCTTATCCCCATTACACCGATGAGGAAGCTGAGGTCTGGAGAGGGCCCTGAGTAATTCAGTTGAATGGCAAAGACGGATTTTGAACTCAGATCCTCCCCCTGCTAGGGCCTGGAATTGGCTGGGACTACCGCCGAGGCAGCCTTCAGTGGCTGGATTGGAGAGGAGGGGGCAGGAGATGAGGCCCGAAGCGTTAGAATGTAATAGAACCCGTTAACACTCAAGGTCTATTTCAGCACTTCAAATCCGACAAGCGGCGTCTCCCGAATACAACTATTTAGACAACTGAATATTCTTTCCCTGATTCCACATGCCTAAGGAGGCGAGGCACCTTGCCCGAGGTCACAAGCAGGGAAGTGGTAGGATTAGGATTTGAATCCGGTTTGCTAGGGTCCGATTTTCTGCATCTTTAACTATTTCCCTTTGCCATCCCGCCTACTGCTACCTGTATGAAAATTTGACTTGAAATCATGCTGACCACTGAAAAATAAACAATGCTTCGCTCTCTGTGCTGGAAATTCATATCCATTCTTCGTCCCTACTCTGCCCACGGCATAGTTCTGGCAGTGTCTGTGTTCCCATGGACCTCAGGAAGGGAACCTGAGATTCTTTCCATCCTCTGTGTTCAGTACTAAAATATAACTATATGATTTTCCGGATATAAATATAAAGCAACGGGACACATTTAAATGAACACTGGGTGTTTTTAAACTCATGCGGCTCATGGTGCAGCAGTGAGCATAAAAATTAATTAAGGTTTACTCAACAGGAAGCAAAATATGAAGCAGGAGTGCAGAGCTGCTAAAATCAGCAAATGGGAACTGGGGTTGCTGCAACCAGGTCCAGGCCCTGGAAAGAGGAAGGGGTTGGTGGTCCCAGTTCCTCTGTGCCAGTGCTGCAGCTCCAGGAGATCTGAGACTACTTCTAGACACACACTCTGAAAAAGGATATAGAAAATTAGAGTTAGGGCGCCTGGGTGGCTCAGTGGGTTAAGTATCGGCCTTTGGCTCAGGTCATGATCCCAGGGTCCTGGGATCGAGTCCCACCTCGGCCTCCTGGCTCAGAGGGGAGTCTGCTTCTCCCTCTGCCTGCTGCTCCCCCTGCTTGTGCTCTCTCTCTCTCTGACAAATAAATAAAATCTTAAACCAAAAAGAGAAAAAAAGAAAGAAAATTAGAGTTTGTTTAACAAAAGGAGCCCGGATTGGGAAGGAAGGGGGAGGGGGGACTTCAAATCATATCTGATAAGGAACAATTAATTAAAGGAACCAGAGAGACTTCTCTGGAAAAGCTTCAGGGGTCCTGACCACTGCCTGTGAACTATCTAAAGTGTTTTCCCAAAGGTGAGGGAGTAGATTTATTCTGTGTCACTCCAGAGGGAAGCACTGAGACAGAAAGGTAGAAAAGACAGAGAGACCACGTGACATAAGGAAGACCTTCCTGACAGTTTGGGTTGTCTATTTGTGGAGTGAGCGGCCTTGCTCAGTAGTGAGCTCCCCGTCACTAGTAGTGTGCAAGCAGGGGCCATGTAGTGACTTGATGAGAATATTGAAGATACTCAAGCATCAGGTTGGAGGTGGAAGTAGATGGCTTTTAAAATCACTTTGGATACTCCAGTTCTAAGTCTCCATAAACAAACACAAACGCATGGAGGGTTGATACATTTGCCACTTACCAGGGGCGGGGTGGGGGGGACGGGTCCAGGATAATTGCACCTGCTCTCCGGACAGAATGAGAACTGTAGTGATTTCACATATCCTGCAGTCAAGGGAGCCTCCAACAGTCTCCTATCTCTCTCACTCTGCCTCCATCTCATTTTTTTCCAATTATGCCTCCAGAAAACCCCAAGGCCTTCTCTCTCTCTTTCTTTTAAAGATTTTATTTGTTTGACAGAGAGACAGCTAGAGAGGGAACACAAGCAGGGGGGAGTGGGAAAGGGAGAAGCAGGCTTTCCGCCGAGCAGGGAGCCCGATGCGGGGCTCGATCCCAGGACCCCGGGATCATGACCTGAGCCGAAGGCAGACGCTTAACGACTGAGCCACCCAGGTGCCCCCCCCACCAAGACCTTCTCTTAAGCTCAGGGGATAGAGAACTGGAATGAGCAAAGCAGAGCATTCTTTAGCAGGTGGCTCGAGGATGTGGCACCGAGGGATGGTGAATCATTTTTGTTCTAACCGCTTTGCCCTCATCTGCTAAGAGACTTCCAGGCCTAAGATGTGCTACCCAGGGACACCTCTGTTTATGGTTCCACCAGGCATCCTCTGCCCACTTGGAGAGTGTCTGGTTCTCCAGGTGCCAGACTTTCAGGCTTTGGGACAGAAAGCACACACACCAGTGTGGATGTTTTTAGATCAAATCCATGAGCAAATGCTGTTGGCTCTACCTCTCATACACTCTCTACCCGGCAGCAAGGGTGGTTTTTTGTTTTTTGTCTTTTTAAGATTTATTTATTTGAGAGAGAGAGCGAGAGCGAGAGAGCGGGGGGAGGAGCAGAAGGAGAGAATCTTCAAGCAGACTCCCTGGAGAGCGTGGAGCCTGATGTGGGGCCTGATCTCATGACCTATGAGATGACGACCTGAGCCAAAACAAAGAGTCAGATGCTTAACTGACTGAGCTACCCAGGCAACCCTGGGGGTGATTTTTTAAAAAATTAAATCACGGGACACTTGGGTGGCTCAGTCAGTTAAGCGTCTGCCTTCAGCTCAGATCATGATCCCAGGGTCCTGGGATCGAGGCCCACCTCAGGCTCCTTGCTCAGTGGGGAGTCTGCTCCTCCCTCTCCTTCTGTGTGCGCCCCCCAAATAAATAAATAAATCTTTAAAAAAAAAAAAACAACAACTCAGAAGAGCCTAAGTGCATCCCATGTGTCCTGTTCCCTGAGAATCTTCCTCAGTCCATCTTTTACCAGCTTACATTCTCTGGGGGAGACAGAATTATGCCCCCCAAAGGTGTCCACGTCCTAATCCCCAAATCCAAGCACCTGATGCCTCACTTTGCACAGCTGAGACAGCGCTGGGACCAGTGCTAACCACCCATCTTGGCGGGTTGGGGTGCTCCTGGATTTGCGCCCCGCCCCGCATCCCAGGGCAGGTCTGCAGAAGGCACAGAATGACTGCAGAGCTCCCCAGGGCTAGGGGTGGGGTGGGGGACTGAGCCAGGGGTGCAGGACATCAGGTCCCTAGGCGGGGGGCGGGGGAACCCCCAAGGGGTCCCGGCCTCTCGGCCCGAGCGCACTGAGCAGCGCGTCTCCTTGTCAGCCCGCACTGGCCTTCCTGCCTCGGCAGCTGCGGGAGGATGGCAGCAGTGCTGATCGGGAAGGGCAGCCAATTCCCCGACTCCAGCTTCATATAGCCGCCCTGGAGTCTCCAAGCCACGTCCTTACTGCCCCTTGGTGGACAGCTCGGTGCAGGGTCCCCCTGTGATGGAGAAAAGGCCCCGTCCCAAATCAGAATACCGCCCTCTGCTGGCCGTCTCGGGAAGCGGCTCACATCCCGCCGGATAGTTTTAATGTTGGGGGCGGGGCGTGGACCCTCCAAGGTAAGGTAACTGTAGCCTCCCGTGGCATTCATTTGCCACACCACCTCTCTCCAGTTCTCTTGTTCCACACTCCCAGGATGGGGGCGCCCAGCAGCAAGCCTGGTGCCTAAACACACATCCCCCCAGAGGACGGAATGCTAGGTCCCCCCAGCCCTTGGGGATGGCATCCCAGTTTCTACAGTGATCCTCAGGATCTTCCCCCAGCACTTGGCTTCAGTGAGTCATGGAAAGTGAGGTAGGCAGGAGCCAAACATTGGAAACCCTCCCGGGCTGTGGTGAGGGCTGTGATTGCTCTCGGGACAGCAGAAGCCTAGAGGGGTTAAGCTGGGGGAGTCATGACCCATTCAAGTTTTAGAAAGTATGGGGAAATGAGCACCGTCAACATTGCTGAGAGAATTGAAAATTGGTACAATTTCTGTGGAAGGAAGTTTCGCAATGTCTTTCAAAACGACTAACATGTGTAGCTTTGAACCAACAATTCCATCTCTAGGATTTTGAAGCTACAGATGCTCTTGCATATGTGGAAAATGTCTTATATAAACAGCCGGTCATTGCAGTGTTGATTGCAATAATCAAACGACAGCCCTTTGACCGTCATTGCAGGAATGATTAATATAGTCTGTCATTTCAAAGGAATACTCTTATAAAAAAACAAAACAAAACAAAATCAGACCAAAAAAAAAAAAAAAACTGAGGAAGCTATATCTCAATACAGAATATCTAAAATATTTTGCTGAGTGGGAGAAGCAAGGTTAATAACAGTGGATATGCTGCACTATCATAAATATAAAGATGTGGGGGAGATAAACATTCATTTTTATGATGCTAAATGACCATTGCACTTTCAAACTCCCCAGGGTTGGTGGGACCCCCCACTGAGACTGCATTATACCCTAGTTTCCCTCCACAGTCCACTTCCTTCCCTTCCCTAGGTCCTGATCCCAAGACTGCTCCCCCAATAAATACTAACCTCTGTCTCAGAGTGTGCTTCCCAGGGAGCCCAACCTGCAACAGCACAAACTGAATTTTACTGGAAGTCACCAGTTTTCCAGAGTGGTTCTGCTATTTTATACTCCCACCAGCAGTAAATAAAATTTCAGTTGCTTCCCGTCTTTGTCAATACAGATGTGTGTCCCTTTCATTCTTAATTTGACTCTCCATGATGGCTGAGTGCCTTCTCAAGAGCTTGTTG